TGGTTATTATACAGTCTAACGTTTCTTGGTTTGTGACTTGAAGTAGTTTAGTGTCTGAGATTGTATCTGGTCAGAAAAGTTTGATAATTCTACGTAGACATGTGTGGTGGAAGGTGGACAGCTTGTGTGCATCCTTTTTGGTCATTCTCCAACATTCCGCTCCATAAAGAAGAACTGATAAAATGATGCTCTTGTAGAGTCTAAGGTTCGTTCCTCTGCAGTAATTGTTGGATTTCCAGATTTGCCTCATGCTTCCAAAAGCTCTAGCTTTGTTCAGGCGTGACTGTATGTCTTCTTTGGTCCCTCCCAGTAGGGACACCACACTACCAAGATATGTGAAATGTTCTACATTTTCAAGTGTTTGGTTATTTATGGTCACTGGTTGTTGGTTTGGACTGTTTGTCATGATCTTAGTTTCTCTTGTATTTATTCTCAGTCCCACCATTTCTAATGTACTGTGTAGTCTGTTACTTTTTTCTTGTATATGTTCATGTTCATGTGAGAGGAGTGTAAACGTTTCAGATTCCCATTAATTACAGTTAAACGTATATTTTTTAACCGTCATCAGTAAGTCTTCTTTTTTCTTCTTTGCGTTCACCAGCTGTGAACTTTGGCGGAAAGTTCTGGTTGTTCATCCACGTTTGGACTGCAGTCCTGTTCCTGAAGCTGAGTGTTGAGTGTGCATCCGTTTTACAGATCTGACTCATGTGTATGCAGACTGCTGGTATTCAAAGGAAGCTCCCAATTAGTCGACTCTTACGACATCCTTTTGGGTAGGCAGTGGGTCTGTTCTTGTTTTTTCCATAATAGGGCCCCGGAACCGTCACGGGGATCGTTAGTAAGTGACTACAGTGTAAATGTTTCAGACTTCCACTAATTACTGTTTAATGTTTATTTTGTAACCATCTGGTGTAAGTGTCTATAGTGTAAATATTTTAGATCCCCTTTAATTAATGTTGAACGTATATTTTGTAACCGTCATCAGTAAGTGACTACAGTGTAAATGTTTCAGATTCCAACTAATTACTGTTAAATTTTTATTTTGTAACCGTTAGCTGTAAGTGACTCTGATGTAGATATTGCAGATCCCGAAACTCCGCTTCTAGTTATTTTCACTTGTGGTGACTGTAATGTAAATGTATATGTAAGTTATTCAGTCAGTTAGTTCCGTATACTTTACAAGACGTTGCAGAACTAACCCCAGTGTGATTTCGGCGGTTCTGGCTTTACTAGGCAAGTTACGTCTGGTAGTTTGCCAATGCCGTATGAACGGTCGGATCTCAATACTACTGTTGAAACAACCAAAGGCGATCTGATGCCAAATCGCCTGCAGCTGGGATCGAAACCGGCACTCCGGCATTACGAAGCGCGTTCGCAACACCTAAGCCGCAGACGCCGAGACAAGTCTATTATAATTTATAAAATGTGCAGTAACATAGTAGACATATCATTCTCACTGAGTATCAAACTTTTCAATACATAAAGTACTCGGATATTCTACTCAGTACATTCAATAGCGTTTAGTGGCTAGCATGAATTCGGTGAATGTTGAATGTTTTATCAAGAATCGACATCACAGCACTCCGGACACTCCCATAAGTGCTCAATCCTCATCTTCAGCAGCAAGCGAAGAGTTCCAATTCCGATGGTACCAGTAGCCGTCTGATTTTTTATTCGTCTCATCCTTCCCCTGAGTGTTGAGCGTCGGCCACATCCCCTGCTAACTCCTCGCAGCGCCTTTCTCCTTAGACCGTAATGACTTATCTGCGCCTCGGCACTGTTCACGCCCAAAGAGCCCTCACAATATCGAACGTGTCATACATCAGTTCACCACCAAGTGGTCCAGAGCCAGCCAGTCTATCTGCCTGCTCATTTCCCATCACACCGGCATTACCTTGAGAAAATATCCAAAGAATGATAACTACCCGGGACCTCTGAACTGATGCTCGCATCAGTTCGGTGTTGGTTAACTAGTCCTCTCTACCTACCATACCTTGTACTATTGTATAACCATAACCCTTTATCCCATGTTCTGTTTCTTCTTCTTAAAGTCGTGTTGTGTGCCGTTGGTAGTCATGCCTATCTACAACCTTCTGTCTCGTGCATTTACATTGTACTATTGTATAGCTATAACCCCTTTATCCCATGTTCTGTTTCTTCTTCTCTAAGTCGTGTTTTGTGGCGTTGGAAGTAATGCCATATCCACAACCTTCTGTCTCGTGTATTTACCGTGCACTATGGTATAGCCATGGGAGTCGCCGTGGCAGAGCGGCTAGACGCGTGCCGCGGATCGGAAGGTCGTGGGTTCGCTCCCTGGCGGAGACGGACTTTTCTTCAAAAATGACCTTGGCTGCCAGGTCGACCCAGCCTTGAGTGGGTACCGGGTGCAATCCCGGGAAGTAGAGGCGGCCGGCGTGATGCTGACCACATCACCCATCTTGTGCCGTTGGTCTATCCACAACCTTCTGTCTCGTGTATTTACCGTGCACTATTGTATAGCCATAACCCCTTATCCCATGTTCTTTTTTTTCTTCCTAAAGTCGAGTTTTGTGGCGTTGGTAGTCATGTCTATCTACAACCTTCTGTCTCGTGTATTTTAAATCAGCTTCGACACAGAAGATCCTCCAGGTCATCATGTCAAACTTTACAGCTTTATTTTTCTCTCGGTCTCCTCTCGCCTCTCTTTCCCTCCAACTTTCCTGCTGTCACAATGTACTCCTGTTTTTCTCTTTTCATCACATGACTAAAGAATGTAGATAGTCTTTTTCTGATGTGGCGAATCAGTTCTCCCCGTGAGTCGGTTTCTTTGAAAACATCTTATTTCCTGTTTTTTTTTATTTTTTTATTCAAGGGTATTCTCATCATTTGTCTACAAAACCACATCTCCGCAGCTTACAAATAAGTTTTCACTAATCTACCAACTGTCTATGATTCACTTCCTTATATCAAGAAAGGATTTATATAGCTTTTGATAATTCTCTTTCTCGTCTCAGTTGAGACTGTTGGAGTCTGGTCAAATTGCAGATGAGGTCATTTCTTTGGTTGTAAACTGAAAACATGTCGCAAAAAGCAACAAATTAATGTTGTCCTTAATAGGGTGCATCAGCCTAAAAGGTGCGGCAGGGTGCTGCAGACCACAATATGTGTGCCAATTTCATTTTCAAGAGCGCATCATATGATTCTTGAGTGTTCTGAGCTTCTCGTAGGAGATTCAGTAAATGAGTCAGACCCTTTTCTCCTTGCTTTTCCATAATATACATTTCCGGAAGTTAAAAAAAAAGTAAAGATCCCTTTTCACGCCATTAGGCGCATCCGGCATACGGGAAAAGCACCCCATATTTTTACAGACCAATCGGCACTAGGTGGGTAATGTGGACAGCATTACGCCGGCGGTCTTTACTTCTCTAGGATATACATCCTGGTACCCATTTTAGGCTGAGTAGACCTGTGACGCCCCAAACCATGATAAAAATCCCCGCAGCCATCAGTGGGTTTCAATCGCGGTATGTTGGAATTACGAGTCGGACTCGCAACGCCTAGGCCACGGACGCCGCATTTCTGGAAGGCTATAAGGCTTTTTTAAAAACCCTCATAAATCTGATTTTGGTTGCTATGGTCTGATTCTCATCCTTTATTTGTTAAACTTACATACAGAAATCCTGGAAGAGAACATACAAAATTAATCAGGTGTCCTTTTTACAATAAAGGTTAGCTGCAACTTTATCGTCAATACCATGCATATCTACCTACCTACCTACCTACACGCCTACCTACCTACCAACCTACCAACCTACCTACCCACCTACCTACCTACCTACCTACCTACCTACCTACCTACCTACTTACCTACCTACATACACACATGCCTACCTACCTACCTACATACCTACCTACCTACCTGCATACCTACCTGCCTACCTACCTACCTACATGCCTACCTGCCTACCTACATGCCTACCTACCTACCTACCTACCTACCTACCTACCTACCTACCTACCTACCTACCTACCTACCTACCTACCTACCTACATACATACATACATACATACATACATACCTGCCTGCCTACCTACCTACCTACCTACCTACCTACCTACCTACCTACCTACCTACCTACCTACCTACCTACTTACATGCCTACCTACCTACCTACATGCCTACCTACCTACCTACATGCCTACCTACCTACCTACCTACCTACCTACCTACCTACCTACCTACATACCTACCTACCTACATGCCTACCTACCTACCTACATGCCTACCTACCTACCTAGATGCCTACCTACCTACCTACATGCCTACCTACCTACCTACATGCCTACCTACCTACCTACATGTCTACATACCTACATACCTACCTACCTACCTACCTACCTACCTACCTACCTACCTACTTACCTACCTACCTACCTACCTACCATTAGACAGGACTACCTCAGAGACTGTCGCATCCAGATCTTCATGAGCTTTCTCACGGAGTCACCAAGAAAGTATACCTAGTTGAAAGTTTATGTCTATGACTTTAGTTCTTCTTCTTTTTCTTTGTAATAGATTAATTATCTATATCTGCAGTGTTGTGTCTCGTATGTCCCTCACTGTCTTTTGTAATTCACTCAGCGACCCGTAAATTTTGGCTTGCATTGATGTTTCTCCTGGCCAAAAGTTTTGCCTTGATATGTTGTATTTGGGACATTCTTGGAGGACATGATCTGTTGTCTCTGGTGCCGATCGACATGTGCACATGGCTGATTTGCCGATTTGTAATTTTGAGTAGATATGGCTGCGAAGTCGATTGTGTCCTGTTTTAAGGCGTAGAATAATAAATAACTCTTGTCTGTCCATAATATGGTAATCGTCGTGTGGCGGTTTTGGTGGCTTTCTGATTTGATTATTCTCTTCTTTTGTTAAGAGACTGTTACGTGACTTTAGTAAAACTATTACAATTTCCCACTGCTCACTGCTTGCTATATGATAAATATGCACGATATCTGCTTACCTTGTAACCGATAAATTTTCCATTGATTTGTCTGTCATTGGGGTCTATGGATTCCCACACAAAATGGGCTGTTCCTGGGGTTTGGGGTCGTTTCTGATCCTGTCGGAAACCGGAAACTGTGATCTTTGGCTCTAGGAATTGAATTAAAAAAAAATTATTAACTTTACTAATTGCGGCTCAATAAGTATTTTATACTTTTCTAAACAAAAAGTCTAAGGAACGAACTAACGAACGAACGAACGAACGAACGAACGAACGAACGAACGAATGAACTTTATTTTCAAAAGGTCACAAATTAGGCACACATTTCACCCTTCCAAACTCCCATCTTTCACACAGCAGTTGTATTTCATCAATAAAGCATGTTATGTTCATGTAAAAATGCATAATATGATTATAAAGTCAAAAACGAAGGCATGGGTGGTGAAATAAACGCGCACGCTCGCTCGCATCTCCGCAGCTAGGAGATTTAGTATGTAAGAATTACACGAATATTTTGGCCACTCAAGATCAGAAATGAAAGAAGTTAAAGAGGAAAACTACAGGTTCAGCACCTGGAAACATTATCAATGGAAGAAGACAAGGAGTGATGACTTGGACACGTTTGCACAATACCTCGTGACCCTTTGATTGAGGGTGAGGGAAAAGGGGGAGGAGGGGGGGGGAGGGGTGTGTGTACACATTGTAGAAATGAGCCTTGAATGACCCAAGGAAACTCGCAGCAAATAGTAATACTAAAGGACCATTTTCCACGCCTTTAGGTGTATAGGGCATACAGGGCTAGACCTATATTTTTACACACCAATCTGCACAAGATGGGTAGTGTGGTCAGCATCACGCCGGCCGCCTTTACTTCCCGGGACTGCACCCGATGCCCACTCAAGGCTGGGTCAACCTGGGAGTCAGGATAATTTTTGAAAAAATTCCGTCTTCGCCAGGGAGCGAACCCACGACCTGGCACGCGAGCGTTCAGAAGTTTGTTATAATGTCTCCTGTTTTTTCCTCCAAGCCGGTATAGACGTGCTTCACCAAGCTTAACTCTACGGTCGAGCAATCGTGTTAACGTCAGAGATTTAACATTTTTCCTTCAAGCTAGTCCGTACAGTGTGGAAGATATCAGCTCTGCCTATGCTTCTACCCGTTTGCATTGGTGCATTACTTGCCAGCTGGTCAGCTCTTTCATTGCCATTTACTCCTGGCTAACACGTGTGAATGCCTTTTGTGTCAACGACGACTTGAAGTTTACACTGACAAAAATATTTTAACATCATGTATTCTTTCTCCAAAGGTCGTGGCGGTACCGAGCTGTCTTTAATGACACGTCGACCAAGCCTTGAGCGAGTAATGGTGCTGTCCTGGGAAGAAAAGGCGGCTGGCGCGATGTTGACCACATCACCCACCAAGTGTCAATTGGTCTCTAAAATATAGGTCTAGCCCTATATGCCCAACTCGCCCGATGGCGTGGAAAAGCGTCGTTTACTTACTAATTTACCTCCAAGTAAATCACTTTACACAGATCAATGCAGGACCAGCCCTCATGAAACAAGTTATGTGACGTTTACAAAGCAATCACAAAAATAAACACACAAATAAATAAAACAAATATGAAGCTGTTGTTGTTGTCGAAATGAAAAACAAAACAAAACAGGTGCTATTTCCACAATGAATATTCCCAGTGTGAGTTCTGGGGAAAAAACAGGTGTTATCTCCACAATGAATATTCCCAGTGTGAGTTCTGTGGAAAAAACAGGTGCTATTTCCACAATTAATGTTCAAGGTGTGAGTTCTGTGGAAAAAACAGGTGCTATTTCCACAATTAATGTTCAAGGTGTGAGTTCTGTGGAAAAAACAGGTGTTATCTCCACAATGAAAATTCCCAGTGTGAGTTCTGTGGAAAAAACAGGTGCTATTTCCACAATTAATGTTCAAGGTGTGAGTTCTGGGGAAAAAACAGGTGTTATCTCCACAATGAATTTCTTGGTGTGGGTTCTGGGGGGGGGGGGGGGGAACACCAGATCCACTGCTTCCCTAAGAAGCATGCCGTAGGAGTTGACTAATTAAATGTTTCCTTCGAAGTCGCATCTGCCTAAGAACCAAGGAACAAATAGTCTGCATATAAATAAGCCAGATCTGTAAAACTGATGTGCACGCACGCTAAACTCAGGTGCTGGAATAAGACTAAAGTCCACAAGTGGACGAACAAGAACTTGGTTGGGTGGGGGGGGGGGGGGTTGGATTTACTTAAAGGAGTTGTGGGTTACTTACCTTTTGTAAAAGAATAAACATTAAAAAATTAAGTTTACAGTTTGTCTTCATTCGAGGCAAGAAGCAATGATGACACAGTTAAACCTTTAATATCTTTAAATCCACAGTGAAAAGCTACACAACAATAAGAAATGTAATAGCCAATTAAAGCTGGTCTTACTAGGTTAAGAAGTTTGCATCGGTTAAAGAGAATTTAACTGTGAGATAATGTAGCTTTACATTTTTAAGGACACAATAATTACTCACCAAGTCCATACAAACATATCGTATGATTAGGGAATTACTGTAGAAACAAGGATATGCATAGGCAGCATAAGACAGGGTTGCTAACTGCAGGGATCGGAGATTCCAAGTAATGTCTGTATGGAACAAGCAAACCTCACAAATGACAAGTGGGACTTGGTCAATATATTAGATGCCGCCAGGACAATGAAGGATAGTTAGCGTCCTTTGGATATTTTGATGATTTGAAAAATAAAAGGATTTACAAAACTCATTGTCTCTAGATCCTCATCATCATGTAGCAGTACAGTCACCAAGGGGTCACTGATATCCTGTGCTCATCTTCGTGCTGGTCGGCCCCTGCACGTCTATGCTGGTACCATGAATTCTGCTATTACTTTCCTCCAATCTGCCATGGCGTTTGATCTGGCCAAAATATTTCAGCATCCGAGACAAGCTGCTGTTTACTAACCAATCTTCCTAAATGTTCAGATTTTAAATGATTTCAACATTTCTGTTCTTCTTTGTCAATAGTATTTTACAGAATTTTAGCTCAAAACCATACGTTTCTTGGATTAATAATGCTGTTTTTTCCTTTTGCTTTCCACATCGCAGTTAGATTGTACAATATTTCAGAACGATGCTTATCTGTTGATGTTAGCCACTTATAGCCACTTATAGCCACTTACCAGATTCGAAACTGCGGCCAGTGTAGACGAAGGCAGGCTGATGGGCTTCTCCCATCTCGTTCTGGGACTTCACCTGCAACAGTGCAAAGTGCCGTTTGATTTGATTCTGTGTATACCATGATCATAATATAGAGATACAACACGATCGATTGATCAATCAATCAATAAATTAATCAGTGAAGTAATAAATCAATCAAACATATTATCGATCACTAATCAACCAATCAAACATACTATATATAAACCATTCTATCACAAGATCGCTCAGTTAATTATTCAATTATCCAGAATAATTATATCCAAACAGAACCTCGAAAAAATGTAATGGAAAACCCACTAACCAAGCAATCAACTAGACAAACAACTTACCACCCAGCTACATAATCAACAATCATTTAACAAACAAACTAACCAGTCAAACAGCCAACTAACCAATACACAAGTCAGTCAACTAAACATTCATTCAATCAACAAATCACTCAATGAACCAACCAACCAGTCAAACAAACAACCAGCCAACCAATCAACCAACCAACCAATCAATAAACCAACCAGCCAACCCGTTAAACAAACAACCAATCAACCAATCAACCAACCAACCAATCAATAAACCAACCAGCCAACCAGCCAACAAACAAGCCAGTCAAACAAACAATCAGCCAACCAATCAACCAATCAACTAGTCCTACAAACAACCAGCCAACCCGCTAAACAAACAACCAATCAACCAATCAACCAATCAACCAACCAACAAACCAACCAACTAGTCCTACAAACAACCAGTCATACAAACAACCAGCCAACCAACCAATCAATAAACCAACCAGCCAACCCGTTAAACAAACAACCAGCCAACCCGTTAAACAACCAACCAATCAACCAATCAACCAATCAACCAACCAACCAAATAGTCCTACAAACAACCAGTCATAGAAACAACCGCCAACCAGCCAACAAACAAGCCAGTCAAACAAACAGTCAGCCAACCAATCAACCAGCCACCCAACCAACCGACCAGTCGATGAACCAATAAACCAATCAATCAAACAATGAACCAAACAACCAATCAAAGAAACAACCTAACAACCAACCGTCTAACAAACCAATCAAACCAGCAACTGACCTGAAACTCGTAAAGTGCGTAAACCTCATCAACCTCCTGCTCGAACCTGGAAGCATAGGTTCCATTGACCGTGGCAGAGTTCCAGGCGAGGCTGCCCTTCCTTCGCCACAGCACGAAGTAGCAGAAGCCTGGACCATGGAACGACAGTCGCTGTAGAGGCTGAAGAAGAAATACAAAGCATGAAATGACTGCAACTGACTGACTGCACATGGTGCGAGATTCAGAAGACTGCAACAGTCAAATGATTACAAACTGATAACTCAGTATATGGTTGTTTTAAATCTCAAGCCCGGGAGAAACGCATTTGGCTGACACAAGCATTTGGTAATGTTGAATGAATGTTGAATTAAAAATCTACATCACAGCACTCGGGACACTCCCATAAGTGCTCAGTCCCCATCCTAAGCAGCAAGCGAAGAGTTCCGATTCCGAAGGTACAAGTAGCCGTCTGATTGTATATCCGTCTCATCCTCCCCCTGAGTGTTGAGCGTCGGCCAGACCCCTGGTAACTCCTCGCAGCGCCGTTCTCCTTAGAGCGTAATGATCAAGCTGTGTCTCCTCACTGTTCACTCGCTCCCAAAGGGCCCTTAACATTTTGTAATAAGGACAGTAAAGGTTATTCTCGTAACGCCAAGATAAAATATTTAACATGCTGACAAGTCAATTTGTTTTATCTTCTTCTGCCTTTCTAGCCCCCAATGGAGCATAGGCCCTCAACCAACTCACGCCAAGCCGTTCTATTTTTTGCTATCGCATGCAGCTCTCTCCATGTCCTCCCCATCTTTCTAGATTCATTCTACAGCTTCCTTCTCCATGTGTTTTTTGGCCTTCCTTTATTCCTATGCTCCTGTGTTGCAAAGACATTCTAGTTATATTGTTTTCCGGTTTTCTCAATGTGTGTCCTATCCAACACCAGCGTCTTTTCTTTACCTCTTGGTCCACTGGAGCTTGCTTAGTTCTCTCCCAAAGCTCTAAATTAGTAATTCTATCATAAAATTTAATTCTCTCTATTCTGCGAAGGCACCCGTTAATGAATGTCTGTAGTTTATTAGTAACTGCCTTGGGAGTACAGCTGCATTAGATAAGGCCTTATTACGCATTTCTGAGTCTTACCACGAATTTGTGGACCCATCAAAGAGGCAAAAATCGGGGAGTGGAGAGTAAAAAGCAACAACGAAATTTAAATCCCCACTGATCACTGGCATTGTGAGGGCTAATAGACAAATGGCTGGGAAATATTAAGCGACTGTCAGATGGCAGAAAGGCAAAAACTGTGTACACAAAGGAGTTGAATCGTCGTAGACTACGAGGCAGATCAGGAAGACGACGGAGAGATGATATCCAGACTGACCCTAAACACATCTTTCCAAATGGAAAGAGAAGACCAACTAGAGAAATGAATAGAAGCGGTGATATCTGCAGCAATGAACCTCAAGGGCTTATAATTCTGAAACAGAAGAAGAAGATAGTGAAGGTGGTAGACGCACAAATACATTTTAGTAGTTTCAAGTTGTGTGTGACAATTGATAACCATGGGGCCTGAAATGGCATTGAGAAGATAAGGAACATCGAGCACCTTAAAGAGAGGGTGGCTGCAGCAGTTGCAGCTGTTGCTCTGAACAAGGTTTAGAATACTTGACAGGAGATTAAATACCATCCAGACATCACCAGACCTACAGATGGTGCTGATATCGAAGTTGACAAAGGTAGATCTAAAACTGTACAATTTGAAGACTCCATACGTGTATATCTATTTAATAAATCTTTGACATCGATGATCCTCCAAGCCAGGGCGTAGAACTATCCAGAAACTTCTCACTCGGTCTCCATAGCCTCTTTCCCACCTTCACGATATACTTAAGTTTTCTCCTTTGTATCACATGACCAGAGAATTGAGATTGTCTTTTTAAAAAAATGCAGATAATCAGTTATCTGCGTGAATTATTTACTTTCAAAACATCTTCATTACTCTTTTTTAACCTGTCTGGGGTCTTACCATCATTCGGCTATGAACACCTATATCAGAAATAACTGAGAGTAAAAGAGATATATAGCAGCGTCTGTGGCCTAGGCGTTGCGAGTCCGACTCGTAATTCCAACGTATCGCGATCGGAACCCACTGCTGGCTACGTTGATTTTTATCATGGTATGGGGCATCGCAGGTCGACACAGCCTTAAAGGGTACCAGGATGGATGTCCTGGGGAAGTAAAGACGGCCGGCGTAATGCTAAACACTTTACCCAACTAGTGCCGATCGGTCTGTAAAAATATGGGGTGCTTTTCCCATATGCCCCATGCGTCAAAGGCGGGAAAAGGGATCTTCACTTCTTTACTTTTAAAAGAGATATATGTCGACCACATCACCCAACAAGTGAAAACTGGTCCTATAAAACTATGGACCGAGAACCCAGCCAAGTGCCGATGTTCTCTCCCTTGTGCTGACAACATTGACAAGAAACAGATGACTGCAGACAACCATGATTATCAAAGCTACATGAAATGGGCTATAAGAGGGAGGCTGACGTGACGTAACGACCTACTAGCTGTAATTCGATCAGTGTTAGACTGGACGACCTTTCCCGGTATATAAAACTAATTTTGTAAGGTTGCGTTGTTAAAAAAAACGCTGAAGAGTTCTCTTCCCGTAAACAGTTCTAAAAGGTTTTTCACAAGATCTTCATGTTTGTTCTTTATTACAAAATCTCGACGAAACAAATTAGCGTACGCCACAACTCTTAATTCTGGCGCCTAACCCCTCCCTCCCCCCTTTTTCACTCCACCCTTTCCCCCTTTCTTTTTCCTTAACCGAAAAAAGAAAAACTCTTCAATGTTTTCATGACAAAACCTCGTGAAAATAAATTACTACACGCGACACAACGGAAGTCTTCAGTTGCCAGATTTTTAAAATGTATTTTCTGACCAAACGTGACACAGAAGAACTCACGAAGTGCGATGTTTGAGAAAAATCCAGCATACAATACATTTTGTTTGTTGTTGTTGTGCAGCCCATGTTTATTTTGTAAGGTGTCTCTTTAAGAAGGTAGATGGCAAACACACTGTAATGTACTGCTTAGTAATCATAAATAGAAAAAGAAAGAAACAGAGAGGAGAACAAACTATATGACATACAAATCGAAGGCACACCAAATTAGAAGCATGATTTACTAGGACAAGGTGTCTGACGTATATGTAATCGTGCATGGTAACTTGAACTGAGATAAGCGAAGGGATGCAGATGTAGAACATTTAAATTATTACCTTTTAAATATTTACCAAGAGAATTCCGTTAATTGTGTAATTCTTTACCTTATAGTGAAAGCAAGGTTAGCAGTTATCAAGAAGCTATTATAAAATATGATTAGTTAGTTGGGTTATCCTCATTGCACTCCGGACATGTCCATAGGTGCTCAGATCCTCCCCTCAGTATGAACCCCGACGTCCGATGGCTAATAGTACCAGTTCTATGTTGATTAACAAGTCTTCTGGCGTGTCTGGTGTTGTTTTGAATTGGTAAATAGTCGCCATCGGACGTCGAATATACCCTGAGGGAAGTCTAAACTCACGTGCATGTACTCCATTGCACGGTTCAGACCCCATTCCGATGAAACTTTCACATTATACGTGAGCGAGAAAAGCTAATTTGCGCCATTCGCCTCAACGGCCGAAAATGCGTACCGCCATTGTGGCTGTTTACACAGGAAGTCTCATTATAAAATATGATATATTAGTTAAGTATGAGAAGAACCCCATTCAACGCCTTCAAGCGAACTGGGCGGATAAGTCTGGACCTATATTTCACAGACCAAATCGGCACTTGGCAGGCAATGTGGTCAGCATCACACCAGTGGTCTTTTGTGTGTGCAGAACTGTATCTGGTATCTGTTTAAGTTTGGTCGACACGGGAGCCTAAGCCTGTTTTGAAAAAAGTTCCGCACTGTTCGGATTTGAACCCACGACCTCGGATCTTCAGGCGAGCTTTTAGTCGTTACACCACGGCGGTTCACAAATGTAAGATATTAATGTAGTTAACTTGCAGCTGCAATAGCATGGTGGATAGACGACCGACTGCCAGCCCGAAAGTCATGGGTTAAAATCCACATCGATATGGATAAAAAAAAAAATAATAACAATGGCTAATATGTCGTCCTTGTCAATAGCTTGTGGCTTCAAGTTTAAACATATGCATAAACAATATGTTTTTGCGGTAGTTGGACATTATTCTGGTACCGTGAAGATAATTTAAACAACTGTCACATTTAGAAGCAGCGACCGTGGCTTAGGCGTTGCGAGTCCGACTGGTAATCGAACCGCGATCAAAACCAACTGCTGGCTGCATAAATTTTTATCATGGTATGGAGAGTCGCAGGTCGACCCAGCCTTAAATGGGTACCAGGATGGCTGTCCTGGAGAAGTGAAGACGGCCGGCGTAATGCTGACCATATTACACACCCAGTGCCGATTGGTCTGTAAAAATATGGGACGCTCTTTCCCATAATCCCGATGCGCCTAAGGCGTGAAAAGAGATCTTTATATCATACAGTTAGGAGAGTTAGGGTTGGACATTTATGGAAGCCATCTGCGGTTCTGGATATTCGATAAAATATCAGGATAAACGTGATTACTAAGATTATTCAGTGTAGGGCAGATCTTGTAAAAGTAATTGGACGGTCTGATTTTACCATGATCACTTGTCGCATCTTTGCTGTCACTAATTTGAAGCCATACAGCTGCCCTGGAGAAAAGCACTCGTCAGTGACACCTACACCGGTGACTTAGTGAATTCCCCTGCAAGTTATTGATTTTAAGTACAAATGCGAGTCTAAAATAATAACAATAATAAAAGTTGAAAGTTAAAAATAACACAGTTGACCTAGAAATAGCAGCCAGAATAACATGTGCAAAATTCACGTCGCTACTGTTCACCTCTTGGGAGAAGTTCTTGTGACAAACATAAACAGACAGACACACGGACTTTCTACTTTATATTATCGATGCATGTTCATCAACTCATTCAGAACTTAAATAAATTATGTAATATCACCAACGCCTTATTAATTTTAACCTAGCTGTTATTCTAACTCCTTCTACCATATACAGCTATCATTTAAGAGGGAAAAAAATACCGAAGCATATTTAAATATATAAAAAAAGGACACATT